GTGGCAGCTGACAGTAATATCTCCTGGGTCTGTGGATCGACTGGGCTCATCTAGGTGGTTCTGCTGACCTTGCTTAGCGTTTGGTGCAGTCAGACGGCAGCTGGGGCTTTGCCATCACATGTCCAGTGCCTCAGTGCTCCTTCCGTGGCCTCTCTCCCCACATGTCATTTCACCTGCCAGGTCCTTTCTTTCCAGTGAGGTCATCAGACTTCCTGTGGGATTGCTGGTTCCCAAGGGCACAAAGCAAAAGATGTTGGGTCTTCTTATGGCTTCTGGCTCGTCCTGACTCTACGTTCTGTTAAATAAACTGAGTCATGGGGCCAGTCCAGAGTCAGTGTAGTCAGACAACTGCACAAGACCAGGAATACCAGGCAGCAGTTTCTGGATGCATGAGGAGGGGTGGGCCACCAATGTGAGTTGGCCACGGTCACCTAGTTAGTACGTGTAGTGTCAGGTGCAGCCCCAGCTCTCTCTGGCTCTGCATCCCACACTCTTACCAGGTACCACTGGGTGTTGGGAATGAATGCTGAGCCAGGCCATGGTTGTGCTGGATGCATAAGCTAGAATCACTCATGAAGGTCATCTGTAGCCCTCCTGGCACTGTGAACATTAGATGGATTCTGTCACTCAGGCCTACTATGTGTCAGGCCCTTTGCTCATTTCTCATCCTTCCTCAAACCCCATCTGGGACTTTCTTTTTCTGAAAAAATGGGAATTCTGCCAATTGCCCAAGGAAGCACTTGTACAGCTCCCAGGAGTAGTCGTGCTAGTACATTTCCTGCCACTCATGACCTGAGTTTCTAGTGGGATGTGTTGTAGCCAGGGGTCCCTGTCAGACCAGCCTGAGTGGATCTGAGGGACCTGAGACCTCCAGCTGTTGTAGGTGTGAGAGCCAGGCCAGCTGGGGCTCCAATCTTCCACCCTGTGCTAGCCTGTGCTATGTCTCACCTGCATTCTCTCCTCTTCAGCAAATGGAAAGGATCCTGAAGAAAGCCTCCAAAACCCACAAGCAAAGAGTGGAGGTAAGTCATGTGTCCACTGGGGGAGGCTGAGTCCTGTAGGTCCCAACGGGGCCCAGAGGCTTGGAGCCAGGCAGAGGAGTCAGTGGGGGGCGGGTTTACCCAACTTGCCTGGGGTCATTGAAGGGAGAGGCTAGGGTTCCGGCGGCTATAACGCCTGGCAGGCTGGCTTTAAGAGCAGGGGGCTCACTGAGGGGAGACAGGATAAAGTGGGGGTGGATGGTGGCATGTGTCCCTAGTAACCCTGCTGGGTGCTGTGATGACATGGCCTTTTTCCTCCGCTTCCCCAGGACTTCAACAGACACCTGGATACACTCACAGAGCACTATGACATTCCCAAAGTCAGCTGGACGAAGTAGCCTTCCCACCCAGAGTATGGGTGGCACCGAGGGGAACAGCAGGCCAGGTTGGGGTTATGTGTGGTGCCTGTGGTATTTTCTAGAAATACTCTACACACACCCTGGGTCTTCTGCTGAGACAGTGCTTTTCAAAGCAGTGTGCCCTCATTCTGGAACTTGATTAAAGTAAGACTATCCTTTTACGCTATTTTAGTTTCTCAATAGCACATTGACGATGAAGCTTTTTAGTTCGGACTGGAAATTATTGAGAGTTTATTCAGAGGTTAAGTGGAAGTGTTTTTACACCCAAGTTGCATCTAACTCATGCTGACAGTCCACCAGCTGTCTCTGCCTGGAGGAAACTGCCCCCAGAGGAGAAGGAGCTGCAGGTGCAGACCCTCACGGGGCCCTGCATGTGCTGCCCTTCCACGTTTCCTCTAGCTGGGGCTTATGCGGTTCCATCCAGGGCCTGGGGAGGCCATTCGCCTGTGGCCTGCAGACTGCCTCAGCCCAGCTGGCCAGGGAGAATAACCGCCCAAGGCAAGGATGGAATGAACGCCTTGCCCCTTTCTGAGCTGAACTAGTGGCTGGCATGCAGCCTGTTGCCCCAATATTCCTATTCCAGACATGTCAGGTGGGTGTTGCCATGGTAGACATTGCCAGTCAAGTACCACGTTCTTTGTCATGGAACCCAGACACTGCCTCCTGCCTCACTACCTTCACCGCTGAGCTCCAGGCACAGTGTTTGTTCAGAGTTGGCACATTCATGCAATCTGTTTGGCATTCCCGGCCTAAGGACGCCTCAGGGTAATGGGACCAGGGGAGGACCCAGGTTCTAGTGCTGCAGAGCCAGTGACTTTGAGGGCCTGATGGTCCCCCCCCCCCCCCCCGCATGAGGATCGGACTGCATATGCTACTGGAAGAATATGGTCTCTATTGACATACAGCTGAAAAAACAACAGATTCAGAAGAAAAAAATATAAGTGTTGGGTTTGGGGCTGTCATATGTGAACTGCACAATAAAGCAAAACCAGTTATTAAATATAAGCCTGAGTGTTTTAATTGTAAGTTGTTTATCACTACAAACTCTGTCTTGGATTTATTGCACACACAGGATGTGTGCTGCCAAAATATCTGCCCTCAGTTTGGATAAAATTAGATGATGTGTTCTCACCTGTGGCTCACAACCCACCAAAGAGAAGTTACGGTCTTACCACTGGCTCTATTGGGCAGCCTCCCATATTACCTGTTGGAAAGGCACTTGCAGATATTTTTTTATCCACGAGCCATTGGTTGGAGTCTGAGCATGTTGTGCTGTGAAAAGTCAGAATGTGGAAGATAAACATTCCAATTCTCCCTGCCTAACAAACTGCTCCAAAAATGAGTGGCTTAAGGTTTTAAGGATTTCTCCCGATTTGTTGATAGGTTGAGCTCAGCTGGGTGGTTCTTCTCCATGTGGTATAGTTTAGTTCCCTCGTATAACTGTGTTGACTTGGCCTGGAGCCAGAAAGTCCAAGGTGGCATCTTGTCCTCGAGGTTTCTCTCCATGTAGGCCATTTCATTGGACAACAAAAGTCATGTCACCCAATTTAGGAGGGAACTAAAAGGCCTGAACACCAGGAGACAGGGTTTATTTGTGGCCATCACTTACAGTTTTTAACAGTGGCTCTCAAATTCTGCTGAAGGTTAAACATTAAAAACCACTGATACTTCCTGGGATGGAGATCTGTCAGATTTTCCAGAGCTCCCCAAGTGACCCTAACATACAGCAAATTTTGAAAAACCCTGATTTACCACAATATTTTTTTAAAATGTATTTTTAGTGATTTCAGAGGAAGGGAGAGGGAGAGAGAGAAAGATAGAAACATCAATGATGAGAATAATTGATTGGCTGCCTCCTGCACGTCCCCTACTAGGGATTGAGCCCACAACCCGGGCATGTGCCCTAGACCAGAATCGAACCTAGGACCTTTCAGTCTGCAGGCCAACGCTCTATCCACTGAGCTAAATCTGCTAGGGTCCACAATATTTTTTTTTTTTTCAGAGATGTTGCAGAGGTGAAATCTGGCTTATATATTTAAATATAAATGCCAGAGATGAAATTAAGATGAGTCAAGTTCCTCCACATAAGGAGAAAAAGTTACAAGTAATTTATGTGAAGAATGTTTCTTATAAGAAAACTAGAGCCCCGGTGAAAATTTGTGCACTTGGGAGGTGGCGGGGGGGGGGGCGGGGGGGGTCCCTCAGCCCAGCCTGCGCCCTCCCAGTCTGGGAGCCCTTGGGGGATGTCCAACTAATGGCTTAGGCCTGCTTCTCATCCTTAGCTCTGCTGCAGAGGTAGGAGAGGCTACCCCAACCGCTGCTGCACTCGCCAGCCATGAGCCCAGCTTCTGGCCCACTGACCACCAGAGGGCAACTCCTGTGTTGAGTGTCTGCCCCCTGGTGGTCAGTGCCTGTTATAGCAACCGGTCATTCAGCGGTTTGGTCGATTTGCATATTAGCCTTTTATTATATAGGATGGGCTGCTTTGTGCAATAATGCTTCCTGACCAGGATTTACTTAGCAGTGCTCTAATATTCCAATGTTCTCTGGATTTTCCTGCATTTATATCTCTATCCTTAGCAGAGGATATACACTATTGCAAAAGCCATCTTTCAAAACCCAGATGGAGATGGGAGGAGCAATCAAAAGTGAGGGGCAGGCACCCTGGTTGGGTGTTCAGTTGGTTGGATCGTTGACCCGTGACCAAAAGGTGGGTTTGAGTCCCAGCTAGGGCACATACCGAGGTTGCAGGTTGGATCCCTAGGTCAGGGCACCTACGGGGGGCAACCGATCAATGTTTCTCACATCTATGTGTCTCTCTCCCTTCCTCTCTAAAAAATCAGTAAAAACATATCCTCAGGTGAAGATTAAAAAAACGAGAGGCAGGCAGTGCAAGTAAATCTTTCTGATACTGCAGGATTGGGATCCCCAAGGCATTATGATGGTCCGTTGGCACAGAATGCAGGCATTTTTCCACAGCCCAAATGTTCATAAAAGCAAATGAGATACAATTCAATTGACTAATCAGGGGTCACAATTTGCATTACCCATCAGTGGCCACTAACTACGGAAATAAAAACGTGCTGTTCGCCCAGGTGCAATGGGGCGTGGTTTTCAGATCATTCCAGGCAATAAAGAGACATGCTTGTTCACTGACTAATGCTGACACTAACAGGTGTCAGGTAGTGACTGTTGGTTAGGCTTGATAGCTATTCAGGGTTTGTTTGCCCTCTTTCCAAGTAATCACCACCTCCCCATTAAAGCGTATCACAATTGGTGACTGCATATTTATTTGTTTCCTAGACTCCCCCACCAGAATAGGGGTTCCATAGGGCTGGGCCCCAGGTGGATCCATCAGGGGGATCTCTCACCTAACAGCCCACAGGATGGAGATTCCCGTGGCCAAGTCTTCCACAGCAGCTGTGCCCGCATCAGTTGGCTCCGCCCGGCCCCGCCAATCTAGATGTTACTTCCGGGACGCTTTAGGTGGGAGCGTGAAATAAGGTCTCCTCGGGCGTACGGCGCCTGCACATACTGCGCCTTGCGCCTGTGCGTTCCTGGAAGCTCCGCCCCCTACCGGACATAACGGTCCGCGCGCGACTCCCTGGACCGGAAGTGGAGTCGAACCGTCGCAGGGTGTGCCTGGCTCTACTCAACGCCCGGCAGTTCTTGCCCTCGCCGCCGCCCTCGGCCACTGCCGAGGCTTCCCGCAACCGCCATGTCCGCCAGTGCCGTCTACGTGTTGGACTTGAAGGGCAAGGTACGGAGGGCTCCCCACCCTCCCTGTTGCCAAGCAACCGGCGAGTTCCTCGCCCCTGGGGACCCACCCTGTTATGGGTTATGGGCCAGTGGGACCCACCCTGGCCCTAAGCAAAGAAACCAGTAGGTCTCACCCTGTTGCTAAGTAACCCATCTGCCCGACGCTGCTTCCCTGTGGGCGGGGGCCCAGGCCTCGGTGCGGGCCGCGGGGAGGGTGAGCCGCCGGCGGCTTCCGAGCCAGGCCTAGAGCCCAACAGCTGCGCGCGACCCGGGGCCGGAGGTGGGGAGGCGTGTCGCGACCGGGGTGCCCGCGGGTCAGTCCCGCCCTCTCGGCGTGCGGCAGCTTCTGTTTATCCGGCCGTTTCTCTGTGCTAGTCTCTGTAGGAATTTTTTAACGTTCGTTGCGACATGCAGTTACAAGGGTGAGGTGAAGTGGGTGGTGGGGGAGCCCTTCCACAGACGGGAGAAACGGAGGCACGGAGATGTTGCACAAACCCACCTCGGTCACACTGGTCACAGGAAGTGGCGGGTGTAGGAGTTGAACCCGGAGCCGTCTGTTCATTCAGCGGACGATTGGAGGAGCACCTCCTAGGTGCCGGGCAGGGCGCTAAGCCTTGGGCTGCCTTGAGTGAGCACCGTCAGAATCAGGTGCTGCCCTTCTGGAGCTCACAGTCTGGGGGAGAGGGACACTGATCTCAAAAAGCACAAGTAAATGGAAATTGCAGTAGTGCCGCAGTGAGGAGGTGATAGGGGGGCTCAACCCGGGCTGGGGTGAGGGAGGGCTTCCTGGAGGGGATGACGAATCCGGCTGAAACCTGGAGGAGCTGGACATAGCTAGGACCCAGGTGCCTTTCCGGGGGAGGGGGGGGGGTCTGAAAAAGCTGCTTAAAGGGGGGCTCTCGAATCCTTTCAGAAGTGGTCTGTTCCCTTCCCCCTAGTCCATCCTGCTAATGGAAAGCAAGCATCTGGCCTCTTGCATCTGGGAGCAACAAGAACAGGTCCAGCAACATTAAACTTTAAGCCCCACATGGATCAGTGAGAGAACTGGGTGTGGGTGTCCAGCCTAGGTGGAGCAGGCAGGAGTTAGCTCAGAAGCAGGGGAAGTGAAGTTGAAGTGGCTGCTGCTTCCTGCCCCGCTCCTCACCCCAGCACTTCCCCAGAGCTCCTTGGGTAGGTTGCCTGCCTTGGATGCTACCCAGAGTCAACAGCCAGTGATTCCCAGTGTGGGACTTCCTTCCCCAGCCTTGTTAGAGGCAAGGGGAGACACGGGCACGCCAAGGCTGGCTGGATGTTGGTGGGTTTCTAAGTCCCAGTAGCATATGTTCTTGCTTCCACCTTGGCCCCATGTCCCCAGAGGTCCCCCAGGCTGCCTGTCGCAGCCCACTTGTTCCTTCAGCAAACATGTCAGCAGTACCTAACATGCACCAGGCCCTGTGCTGACCATCTCACCGTGACTGTGGGGTCAAAACTGCTGCTCGGTGATGTGATCTTGGGCAAGTGCCTTCACCACTCTGGGCCCACAGTCCATACTAGGCAACATGGGCCTGCGGTCTGGCAGGGGAAACACACGGATCCAGATGGTCAGAGCCAGTTAGCCATAAGGGCAGGGTCAGTCCTGCCTTGTGGAAGCTCTTGAGGCAGCCATGGGCTTCCCTCCCATCCTTAGCAGCCATCCTGTCATTTATTATTCCACTTACCGTAGACTGCATGTTTTGAAAGTTTGCCTCCTGCATAGACTGCATGCAATCCAAAATAAAGTCATGGCACATCAAGAAGTTCACAACCACACATCTGCCTGCCAGCCAGAGCCTCTGATCATCAGTTTGGCTCAAATAAACTCATAAAAATCCCCCCCCCCCCCCCCCCCCCCCCCCCGCAGCATGGCCATACTTAGCTAATAGACAGCCTCCGCAACACTTCTCTGCCCTTATCTTTCTTGCTCCTCTGCAGCTTCTGACACCACTGCCACTCACTCCTCAGCAGGCTTCCGCTGGCCTCCAGGTCACTGTATTCTCTGTTTCCTCCTGTTTCTCTCACTGGCTGCCGGCCCCTCCTCTCCTGCCCTCCCCTTGGATTCGGCCCTCAGGCGTGAGCCTAGATGTGCCTCTCTGACCGTCCTCTTGGGCTGGCTTTGATTCATGTCAATGTGCCAATGACTCTCAAATTTGTACTTCACTCCAGAGCACTAATCTGGAGACCCACTGGCCTGCGGGACACCATGGAGGTCCCACAGCAAGTGCAAACTCAGCATTTCCCAAAATGACCTGCTCTCTCTCCATCTCAGTGAGTGACACTGCCATCCATGGGACTGTCCACATCGAGACCTGGGCATTATCCTGGCCTCCTTTTTCTCACTCCCACATTCACTGCACAGACATGTACTGAGCAGCTACATGGGCCAGGCTCTGTTCTGGATGGAGGGACACAGCCATGAACGAGTTGGAAGTGGTCGCTGTTCTCTGGGAGTGTTGGACTTTGGTAGAAGCGACAGGCAATAAATGAGGATACAAATAAATGCAGCTGTGATGTGGGCAGAGAAGGTAAACTCAGGTTGGGGGTAAAGAGGGATGGGATGGGATTTTTCAACCAGAGCAAACAGGATAGGTTTCTTGGAGAAGGTGCCATCTGGGCCGAGGCTTGAGAAATGAGAAGAGCCAGGCCAGGGCATTCTGGGCAGAGGGAACTGCATGTGCAAAGGCCCTGAGGCAGGAGCAGATGTGGATTGCTCAGAGACCAGCAAGGGGGCCAGGATGCTAGAGTGGGGTGACCCAGGGGAGTGTGGACGTAGAGGGGTTGGAGAGGCTGTAAAGAGCCAGATGGTCATGGAGACAGACTTGCAACTAATTCTGTGTGAGGGGTGGCTAGGGAATATCGAAGTTTCAGCAGGGGAGAGACCTCGTCTGACTTCTGTTTAAGAAGGCCCATGGAGCATTTGAGATCTTGCTTTCAAGCATGTCATCAGTTTGGCTCAAATAAACTCATAAAAATCACCCCCCCCCCCCTCCAAAAAAAGAAGACTCTTCTCGCTCTCTATGGGGAAGGAATTATGGGTTAAGAGCAACATCAGGGGTTAAGTGATTGTCACCTCAATGTTGTCCGCCTCCTCCCTTTGTCCTCTTATCTGGGACCCAGCTTAGAGGTTATCCTTACTTCACCTAACCAGTGCTCCCAGGACCCCCATGGGCTGTGTCCCCTACACCTGTGGCCTCTGCCACACTGGTCCCTCTGCTTGTATCCTGCCTGTCCCCTCGGACCTCAGTTTGAAGGTCAGTTCCTCAGGAATGCCCTCAGTTCCCCCAAGCAAGTATCCCAGTGTAGGGACTGTTTGTCTTGGTCATGTGTGTATCCCTAGGCCCAGCACAGTGTCACCATAGAGGGACACATGGTATGTGCTTGCTGAGTTGAATGAGCAGACCTCTGTTCACCTCCGGTTAGAGTGAGCAAATAAATTGCCTCCTCCTCTCTCTGAGCACTCTGGGGGCCCAGGGCTCCATGCTCGATCCCAAAGTTTGGATGTCTGGGGAGGAAAGTGGCCTTGGGAAGCTCAGAAAACAATGTGCTTAGCAAGCAGAAGTGGTCCTGCAGGGAGTGAGAAAGGGGGGCAGGAATCCTGACTCAGCTTTGCTTGTCCTGTGACCTCAGGCAGGTAGCCCCACCTCTCCTGCATAGACTGCATCTAATCCAAAAAAGGTCATGGCACATTGATCTCTAAAAGTAACAGTTCTCCCTCAAGGCTGGGGCAGTGTATGAGGCAGTGTGTACTCTTGGCTAGGAGTATCTGAGGGAGCACCCTGGAGTCCCTTAGCTGGTCCAGGTGCCCACAATCTCACCCACTGGTTGCTGGGTCCCTAAGAGGCCTGAGGGCACAAGGTCCCTTGCCCACAGGCCAGGAAAGAGAAATTAGGAAAGGAAGGGTTTTTCTCTCCTTTTCCCTCACCCCTCTGGCTTGAAAGGATAAAGACAATGGTGTATTTTATGCAGCTACAGGTTCTGAGGTAGGCAGTTCGCAGGTTGGTCAGCTCAGTGATGATCTCAGCGCATTTCTGAGTTTTGCAGTTGGCTGTCCTCGTGAGCCCATGAGAGCAGCAGCAGCTCTAGGTGGCATCTCCAAATAGAGCCTTGCTCAGGCTGGCAAAGCCTCCAACCTTTTTATTCCTTCAGGGAGGTGTAACTTACATGTAACAAAGTGGCTTATTTAAAGCCCAGAAGTTGAAGAGTCAGGCATTGCATATACCCAGGAAGCCATAAACACACATTCTGTCACCCCCAAAGATTCCTCTTACCGCTTTTGTCCAGCCTATTTCCCAGGATTTTATAAAAGTGGAATCGTGCAGGATATGCCATCCATTTGCTGGTTTCCTTTTTTTTCGTACATGTAAATATTTTATATTTTTATTTAAAAAAATCTTTATCATTGAGAGTATTATAGATGTCCCCCTTTTTCCCCTCATTGTCCCCCTCCACTCGTTCCCGCCCCAGGCCTTCACCACCCTATTGTCTGTGTCCATAAGTAATACATAATATGCATATAATATCTTTGGTTAATCTCTTCCCACCCCCCACCCCCTTCCTCCTTCCCTCTGAGATTCATCAGTCTATTCCATGTTTCCATGCCTCTATTTTATTCATCAGTTTATTTTATTCATTCGATTTCTTCTTCGTTTAATTTGATTTTTAGATTCAATTGTTGATAGGTATGTATTTATTGCCATTTTATTGTTCATCTTTTTTACCTATGTCTCTTCCTCCTTCTCCTCCTCCTCCTTCTTCTCTTTCTCTTCTTAAAGACTACCCTTCAACATTTCATGTAATACTGGTTTGGTGGCGATGAACTCCTTTAGCTTTTTCTTATCTGTGAAGCTCTTTATCTGATGATCTTCAATTCTAAATGATAGCTTTGCTGGGTAGAGTAATCTTGGTTGTAGGTCCTTGCTATTCATCATTTTGAGTATTTCTTGCCATTCCCTTCTGGCCTGCAAAGTTTCTGTTGAAAAGTCAGCTGACAGTCGTATGGGTACTCCCTTGTAGGTAACTGACTGCTTTTCTCTTGCTGCTTTTAAGATTCTCTCTTTGTCTTTTGCTCTTGGCATTTTAATTATGATGTGTCTTGGTGTGGGCCTGTTTGGGACTCTCTGTGCTTCCTGGACTTTAAGTCCATTTCTTCCAGCAGGTAGGGGAAGTTTTCTGTCATTATTTTTTCAAATAGGTTTTTAATATCTTGCTCTCTCCCTTCTCCTTCTGGCATCTCCATAATGTGAATGTCAGTACTTTTGAAGTTGTCCCAGAGGCTCCTTATACTATCTTCATATTTTTGGATTCTTTTTTCTTTCTGCTCTTCAGGTTGGGTGTTTTTTGCTTCCTCATATTCCAAATCATTGATTTGCTTTTCGGAATTCTCTACTCTGTGGTTGAATTCCTATAAATTCTTCTTTATTTTAGTTAGTGTATGCTTAATTTCTTCTTTCTTTTTGCTCACCCGATTGGTTGTTTTTGTTTCCTCATATTTCAAATCGCTCATTTGATTCTTGGCATCCTCCATTCTACTGTTGAATCTCTAAATTCTTTTTTATTTCAGTTATTGTATGCTTAATTTCTGACTGGTCCTTTTTCATGTCTTTGAAATTTTCACTAAGATCCTGGAAAGTCTCACTAGTCCCTTGAAGCTCTCATTAATTCCCTTGAAGTTCTCATTAAGTCCATTGAAGCTCTCATTAAAATCCTTGAGTAACCTTATAACCATTGTTTTGAAATCTGTATCCAGTAGTTTGCATGCTTCCATTTCTTTCATTTTTAACAGTTTCTTTGTCTCTGCGTTTTGGCTGCTTCCCTGTGTTTGTTTCTATGTACTAGTTATGTCTCCTGGAATTGGTAGAGTGGCCTTGTATCTTAGGTGTCCTGTAGGACCCAGTGACTCAGTCTTCGCAGTCACCTGAGCTGGGCACTCTAGGTGCACCCCTGTGTGGGCTGTGTGTACAGTCTTGTTGTATTTGAGCCTTGACTGCTGTTGGAGTCACTAGGACAGTGGTTCTCAACCTTGGCTGCACATTAGAATCACCTGGGAATCTTTTTAAAATCCTGTTTTCTGGGCCTCATCCTCCGGAAATTCTGTTTCTTTGTTATTAATGTTGTGGCCCCACCCCATAACAAAGAAACAGAATTTCTGGAGGATGAGGCCCAGAAATTGGGATTTTAAAAAGATTCCCAGGCGATTCTAATGTGCAGCCACGGTTGAGAACCACTGCACTAGGAGGAATTGACCTCCAGGTTAATTGGCTGTGAGGACAAGCTGTGTCTACAATGAAAGCTGCTGTGCAGGAGACACCCCTATGGAGCAGGACTTGCTTCAGTGGGGCTTTGGTGCTCACTGAGTCTGCCCCTTGAGTGTGTCACTTGTGGATGTGTAGAGTTGTAATCTGCTGTGGTCTGAAGCTGTCCACTGGGAGCACTGACTCTGGGGTCACCCGGCCGGAGCTATAGAGAGATCTGAAGATGGCTTCTACTTGTATTGGGTTAGGAAGTGCTCAGGGAAAGCCCAGCTGTGAAGCAAGGCAGGCTGGTGCTAGTGCTGGATCTTGGGCCTTTTACTGATAGATTTGGGGCACACTGACTCCAACTACTGCTAGTTAAAAATATTTAGGAAAACATTTTAGGAAAGCTTGTGTTCGGGCTGCAAATTGGATGGGGTGGGGTCTCAGGGAATCGCCAGGGCAGACGAACAGAGTAGGCTAGGCTGATGGAAACTCAGATATGGCTGCCGGTCAGCTCTGTACTGGGGGAGGTCCCAGCACAGGAACAGTGACCCCTGCGAGCACCACTGTCTGGGAGAAAGCCACCCCCGAGTTCCTGCCCCCATGCCAGACAGTCCAGTTCCTCCCGTGTGTCTCGGGAATCCCCCCAAAGATGTCCTGAGCTGGAGCTCAGAGGAAGCGAGACCGTGTAAATTCATGTATAGGCCTCTGTGTCATTCAGCCACAATCCTTGCTGGTTTTTACATCCCAAAGTTACGGGGCCTTCTCTTCCCAGCTGTGGAGCCCTGGGCTGGGGCTCTGGTGTGCAGCTGGGGCCTCCTGCTTCTCACAGGAGGCCTTGGAGATATCCCTCCCGATGAAAACACGCCACATGTGGGTGTAGGACTAGCATGTTTCGCCCCTCCGCCCCTCCTACCAGTCTCTGTGCTTTCTTCTGTACTTCTTTGGTTGTAGGGTTTCCATTCACCCAGATTTCAGGCAGTTCTGAATGATGGTTTTTCTGAATTTGGTTGTAATTTTGATGTGGTTGTGGGAGGCAATGAGTATAGGTGTTTACCTACTGGTTTTCCTTTCATGTAAATATTTCCCATTTGCTGGTCTCTCTCACACGGCCCAGTCATCCTGAGATTCCTCCATGCTGTTGCATGTGTCGTTGTCACTCCTTATGGCTGAGGAGTGTCCCATGGTGTGGATGGATATGGTTTGTGTCTCTATTCACATGTTGAAGGACATTGACATTATCTCCAGCCTGGGTCCGTTTAAAGTAAAGTTGCGTGAACATTCACTTCTGAATCTTCACATGGACAGTATGGTTTAATTTCTCTGTGTAAAAACCTAAGAGAGGAATAGCTGGGTCACAAGCTGGTTTAGCTTTGTGAGAACCTGCCAAGCGTTACTGAAATGGTTGTCCTACTCTCTGTTCCCATCGGTGGTGGATGAGGACATATCTAAACCCACAGGCTATGAAGAGAGATGCCAGGAGAAGGGCTTCTCCTCTTCAGGCTACGGGGTGGGGTGGGAAGGGTGCTTGGGTTCCAGCAGGTGTGAGCACTCAGCAGTGTCCCCCAAACAGGTACCCTGACCCAGGCAGAAGAGCGGGGTGAATTAGCACCAGAAAGACTCTGAGAAGGTCTGCAGTGAGAGTTTATGGAATGTTGTTGAACCTGTCGTCTCCCAAGCAATTCAGTCCTAGGCCCTTGCCCCACATCGCCTCCCACCCTTTCCTGCAAAAACCCTGCTGGTCCCTGTAGTTCACTTGGGAAACACTCTCCTTGAGGAATTCCCTGGGGTGTGGCAATCACATGGCCTCCAGTCTATGCTCTTTGATTGGAGGCCCCTGAGGGAGGGAAGCTGGCATTTCTCACCCCTGCTCCAGGCACTCGAATTGAGTGTCTTCCCTCCCTCCGCCCCTGCCCAGGTGCTCATCTGCCGGAACTATCGCGGTGATGTGGACATGTCGGAAGTGGAGCACTTCATGCCCATCCTGATGGAGAAGGAGGAGGAGGGGATGCTGTCGCCCATCCTGGCCCATGGGGGTGTCCGCTTCATGTGGATCAAGCACAACAACCTGTATTGTATCCCTTTGCAGGAGAGCCCCTGTGGGACTCCTTTGTGGGCATGTAAGTGTGCACATGTGTGCTCATGCATACAACTGAGAGCTGCCAGCACCTGCCCTGGCCCAGCCCAGAGTGCCCAGGCACAGCCTTCCTGCAGCTCCCTGCTGCCTGGGGAGATGGGCAGAGAGCACCCAATGACAAGGGTGATGGGTGTTAGAAGAAGAGGGGGTGTGATGGGACCGCACCTGATCTGGGGATCCAGGAAGACTTCCCTGAGGAGGTGACATTCTGGAGGAGACCTGCAGGCAGGCAAGGCATCTGCCAGCCAGAGGAGTGGTCAGGCCCAAGGAGCGCTAGGCCTGAACGAAGGCTCTGCAAGGGAAAGCGGGGCTCATTCCAGAAGCTGTGGCTCGGGTGGCTGGACCATGGGGAAGGGATGTGTGGTGGGAGAGGCCCGAGGAGTCAGCAGGGTGCATACGTCGGGGTCTCACAGGACATCACCTTAAATGTGGTGAGAAGTGAGCAGCTAGGGTAGGGTTGGGGGAGGCTCCAGGCCCCAGGATCTGCGAGGTGACAGCTTAGGCTTGTGAGTGCTCCTTAACTACAGCTGCCATGCAGTGGTCGCCACTTCCAAGAAGAATGCGTGCGTGTCACTGGTGTTCTCTTTCCTCTATAAGGTGGTGCAGGTGAGTCGAGCCCCAGGGGCCCCAGAGGGCTGTGGGTCACCTGATCAGTTGTGTGCCTCCCCATACCAGCCATTCAAGAGCTATAGGGGAGCTCCAGCTGCCCCATGTATGGGATTCGTCGCCTTAGTTGTCCTCCCTCCCCTACCCACCTCCTGGTGAGGAAAGTGAACAGGAGAAGGTGGGGCTCAGGGCAGGGGAGCCCCCTGGCCCTGGGAGGAACAAGTATGCCCCCCAGCTGGCTGTGGAAGGGTAGAGGCTAGCCAGCTGAGAGTTAGGGGTTGGAGAGTTGAGGTAATTGGGAGAAGGGCAGAGCCAAGCTCTGCTCAGAATCTCCTAGGGCCGTGGTTGGCAAACTGCGGCTCGCGAGCCACATGCGGCTCTTTGACCTCTTGAGTGTGGCTCTTCCTAAGCCTTAGTAGTACCCTAATTAAGTTAATAGCTACCTATATAGTTTCAGTTTAAAAAATTTGGCTCTCAAAAGAAATTTCAGTCGTTGTGCTGTTGATATTTGGCTCTGTTGACTAATGAGTTTGCCGACCACTGTCCTAGGGGGCTCTCACAGTAGAGGCCCACTGAGGCCCGCCATGGAGAGAGCTGACATGCCAGGCCCAGGCTGACAGCAGGATAGGGAGGCAGAGAGAGTGGCACATGCAAATGCCCTGGGGCAGGAGTGCATGTGGTGTGGTCAGGGAGCATCAGGCAGGCCAGTGTGCCCAGGACATAGGGAGTGAGGGACAAAGTCTGGGGCTGAGGTCAGCAGAGTTGTTAGGGCTGGATCACAGTGCGGGTGTGGAGAGGCATACAGGCCTGGTGAGTTTAGATTTCATTCCAAGTGTGATGGGAGATGGTGGGAGGGCTTTAAGCGAGGACTGCTCAGGCTGATCTAAGTTAAGATGATCCATCTCTGGCTGCTGAGTAGAGGAATGTGAGGGCAGCAGGGAGCCCAGTGAGGTCGCTGCAGCTTGTAGAAGAGAAGTGGAGGGGCCTGGCCAAAGCTGGGGTTTGGGTGGAGAATGGGACCCAGGAGACCTGGGGTGGGCCCAGGAAAGCGTGTATACCTCCAGTGGTACCATATGCAGCTAGCTCCGGAGCCACTTGTGCTAAACCTTCAGGAGCAGGGGCCGGTCTGACATTGAGGGCACGCGGTATGGGACAGGAGAGCAAGGAGTGGGCCTTCATTACGGAGTGGTGGTGCTGTCGCAAGCAAGGCCTGGGCGTGGGGAAGTGGGGAGGAGGAAGTTCTCCATGGAGGATCTAGCAGTTCTCTCTGCTTTGGTGTCAGTGCTAATGAAACATTCCTTCCTTGAACCTTACAACTTCCTGCTGAAACGGGGACGATGTATCTGCCTGCACAGTTATACAGACTGGGAACTCAGGGAGGCCGGAAGAGTCCAGAAGCATTGCTTGTTCTGTCCCCAGTGGCTCTTGCCTCTCACTTGAGTCGCCTCTGACTCAGAGGCCAAGGAGACAGTTACAGTGAGGACTAAAGGGAAGCTGGGAAGGGGCCGCAGGGATGCGGATATGGGGCTTCTGACCAGGCTTCAGAGGACACCTGCAACCCCTAGCGTGGTTCCTGCCTCCCAGGTAGCCACATTGCTGCCCACATTCCCTGAGTCAAAGGTCTAGTCTGTAGTATGTTGCCAAGCCTAGAAAATGGGCAGGTGCAGCTTGTGGGCAAAAGGGTTGTTGTCTCTGGGCCTCAAGGCGAGAAAGGCAAATGGATTTGTGCAGGCCTTTCTCCCTTCCTCGTCCTTCCCTCACCCATCGGCCTGCCCCCACTGCCAACATCACAGGTGTTTTCAGAGTACTTCAAGGAGCTGGAGGAGGAGAGCATCCGCGACAACTTTGTCATCATCTACGAGCTGCTGGATGAGCTCATGGACTTTGGCTACCCCCAGACCACAGACAGCAAGATTCTACAGGAGTGAGTAGGCAGAGTGGGGGTCTGGCGGGTCACAGCCGTGGGCAATTTGGGATCCTTTCCCATGCAGCAGCGCTGCATGGTATGAGCATTTTCCCGTTACTAGGTCTTTATTTTCCACCCACAAAGGTGCACTAAATGCTTGGTTGTTAGGGTGTCAGTCACCTGCCTTTGTTTTTTGCTGTCACAAAGGAGGCTGTGATAAAATATCTTCTTTTCTGGAATCCTGCTCTTCAAATAATGGCCACTGTGGATTAAGTGCTTCTTGTGAACTGTGCCCCGTGTGAGCACTTAGCCTCCACTCGATTCACAATCAGAGGCACTGTCTCCCATTGTACCCGGGAGCAATGTAACTTGCCCATGTCCCGTACCTGTTGCTCCCCAAGTGGGAATGGGGTCACCAGGTTACTTCACCAGGGGCTTAATCCCCCTCTGCAGACCAGTGGTGCTTTTCCTCACTACCGCTGTCTCCTTGGACCCCCCAAATGAACGGTCAATGCTCATTGTAATGAGTTTTTTAGGCTTTTTGAAATTTACGATATTGTTGAATTAAACAGCCACAGATGAAACCAGAGCCTGCCTTTTCTGGAGCCTGTTACGGTGAGGGGCTGTTTTCAAGAATGTCGGTGCTTGCCTGCCTTAACTCTGAGCGTGGTCTCACAGGTACATTACTCAGGAAGGCCACAAGCTGGAAACGGGGGCCCCGAGGCCCCCAGCCACTGTCACCAACGCAGTGTCCTGGCGGTCTGAGGGCATCAAGTACCGGAAGAACGAGGTGTTCTTGGACGTCATCGAATCTGTCAACCTCTTGGTAGGCTTCTTTTCTTTATTTTTTAAAAATCTTGTCTTCTCAATGATGGTTGTAAAAGCAACTAGACTTTTAAAATTAGTGAAACCCTGAGCAATATTTAGGTTCTGTGTGATAGATCAGCAGGATTCAGTTGGGGCTACTCATTGCAACGTGAGCTTGTTTTATCTTCATGAGCTTTTGTTTTTACTTAGAATCAAGACATTGACATTGTTTTTAAAAAGAAGAATATATAAAATTAGAAAGTGAAGGGCTCCATAATCAGAAAGCCCGCCTCACTGTATAAACATATGTTGTTTTTCTATAAAACAGCATAAGGTGTGGTTTTTCTGCAACTTGTTTTATTTTGGTGGGAGGGGTGTTGTTTTTGTTTTACTGTTTTGTAACCTTTGTTTTTTTCTTTAACTTTATTTTTTAAATACCATTAGGTAAAATTGACCTATGAATTCTAGAATGTGTACATGTTTGTGCGCGCACTCTCATTATCAGGATACCAGACAGTTCCATCACCTCCAAAACCTCCCCCTTGCTGCCCCTTGGTAGTTGCACCCTCCTCCCTGTCTCCAACCCCAGGCAACCACTGGTCTGGTCTCCATCCCTGTAGGTTTGTCTTTCTGAGATTGTCCCATGAATGGAATCCTACAGTGTGTGACCTATTGAGCCTGCCTTCGTTCACTCACCATATTGCCTTGAGAGTCATCCATGTTGCTGTGTTTATCAAAAGTTTGTTTCTTCTTATGTTTGTTTATTTTATATTCTGAACCACAGTATGTTTATCCATTCACCCACTGAAGGACATTGTGCTGTTCCCAGTGTTTGGCACTTGTGAAAAGCGTTGCTATAAACATTTCGTGTACAGGCTTAGATGTGGGCAGTTTTCATTTCTCTAGGGCAAATACCAAGGAGTGGGGTTGCTGGGTCATATGGTAAGTGCATTTTAATAAGTTTAATTTTATAAGAAACTGCCAAACTGTTTTCCAGAAGTAGCCACACCATTTTGCATCCCTACCAGTAGCACAAGAGAGTTCTAGTTGCTTCACATCCTTGATTAGTATTTTGTTTGTGTCGTCCTACTATGTATGTAGTGGTATCTCCTCATGGCTTTAACTTGCATTTCCCGAATGGCTAATGATGTTGAACATCTTTTTATTGCTTCTTTGTCATCCGTATAGCGTCTTTGGAGAAGTGTCTCTTCGTGTCTTTTGAGCATTTTTAAACTGGGTTGTTTGTTTTCTGATTATTGAGTTTTGAAAGTTCTTTATATATTCTGGATATGATTCTTTTGTCAATATGTGATTTACAAATATTTTCTCCAAGTCTGTCACTTGTCTTTTCATTCTCTTGGCAGTATCTTTCACAGAGCAAAAGTTTTTAATTTTTAGAAAGTTCAAAAAATTGAACTTTTTTGAGTTTTAAAAATTGATTCTAAATTTTCTTCTTTATAGTTTTACATTTAAATCTGTGATCAATTTTGAGTTAAATTTCACATAAGTTATGAGGTTTATATTGATTCTTTTTGCATATAGCATAGTTTTTTGTAGTTTTAATAATTTTTGAAAAGACTATCCTTTCTCTATTGAATTACTTTTGCATTTTTGTCAAAAAGCAATTGGTCATATTAATGCAAGACTATTTCTGGACTATCTATTCTGTTCCATTGGTCTGTATATTTATCTATTCCTTTGCCAATACCACACTGTCTTGATAACTGTAACTTTATAATAGGTTTGAAAATTAGATAATGTGATTCTCCCAACATCCCTGTTTTGGTTTTTTTTAATTGTTTTTAACTATTCAGTTCCTTTGTATAGAATTCTAGGATCAACTTGTCTGTACCTACAAAAAATTCTGGGATTTTGATTGGTATGGTGTTAAATAACTATTTAGTTTGGGGAAGAATTGATATCTTTTTAAATATATATATATGTATTTTATTATTGATTTCAGAGAGGAAGGGAGAGGGAGAGAGAAAAACATCAATGATGAGAGAGAATCATTGATTGGCTGCCTCTTGCATGCCCCATACTGGGGATCGAGCATGCAACCCAGGACCCTTCAGTCCGCAGGCTGACACTCTATCTACTGAGCCAAACCGGCTAGGGCTGATATCTTTTTTTAAAAACTATGTTTTTGATATCTTTAGAGAGGAAGGGAGAGGGATAGAGAGATGGAAACATTGATGAAAGAGAAACATTAATTAGCTGCCTCTTGCACGCCCCCTACTGGAGTTTGAGCCCACAACTCAGGCATGTGCCCCTCACCAGAATTGAACTGGTTCATGGGTTGATGTTCAACCACTGAGCCACACTGGCCAGGCAAGGATTGGTATATTTAGCATATTAAGTCTCACAATCCATGAAATAGTATTGTTTCTCTGTATACAAGGTGGGGCAAAAGTAGGCTTACAGTTGTGAGTCTGTGAAACAGAGTTTATTCTTGTATTATTAATTATTGTATTATTTGCTATACTTACAACTGTAAACCTACTTTGCCTACCGCCACTCTTGTGTATTTAGGACATCTTTGATTTCTTTCATCAGCATTTTGTAGTTTTTACCATGTACATGTTTTGTTATTTAGGTATTTCAGTGTTTTGAAGCTATTATAAATTGTATAGTTTTGCTTTTATTTGGTAGAATTCACCATTGAAACTGAGCCTGCAGATTTCTTCTTTTAGCATATTTTTAATTACAAATTTCAATTCTTTTAAGTTGGTCCATTTCATCTAAGTCATTGAGTTTATATGCATAGGGTTGTTTATAGCAGTATTCCCTTATTATCTTTTTAAGTCTGCAGGGTCTCTACTCTATCCCTTCTTTTGTTCCTGATATTGGTAATTTATGTTATCTTTTTTCTTTGTCAGTCTTGTGAAAGTTTCATATATTTTATTAATGTTTACAAAGAATCAACATTGATTGTTTTCTTTATTATTTTTGTTTTCAGTTTCATTGATTTCTGCTATTATCTGTAGTATTTCTTTCTCCATGATTTGGGTTGATTTTGCTCTTCCTTTTCCAGTTTCTTAAGGTAGAAACTGAAGATATTGATTTGAAACCTTCCTTTTCTAATATAAACATTTAATGCTATATATTACTCACTAAGCACTGCTTTAGCTGCATTCTACAATTGGGGATTTTCAGATTCAAATTTTCAAAATATTTTCAAATTTGACTTAGATTATTTAACAAAAACGTTTTGGTTCATTTCTAAATGTTTGCAGATTTTTTCTTTTATCTTGTCATTGATTTTTAATTTTATCATTGTTTGACAATATACTTTGTATAATATCAAGTCCTTAAAGTTAAGGTTTGATTTAATGGCCCAGAATATGATCTATCTTCTCACTTTGTTCTCATCATTTCACATTCTGACATGAATATTAGACCTTCTGTTATTGTTCCATGGTTCCCCGAGGTTCTGTTCATTTTATTCCATCATTTTTTCTGTTAGTTTAGATCGGATAATTTCCATTGATCTGTCTTCAAGTTCACTGACCCTTTACTGTGTTATCACCATTCTGCTATTGAGCCTATCCAGCAAGTTTTTAGTTTCAGTTATTGTATTTCTTAGTTGTAAAATTTCCATTTGGTTCTTCTTCCTATCATGTTTCTTTGCTGAGATTGTCTGTTTTAACATTTGTTGCAAGAGTGTTTGCAATAGCTGTTTAAAGTGTCAGATAATCTCAATATCTGTACCAGTGTCGGCATCTGTTGGTTATATTTTCCATTTGAGCTGAAATTTTCATGGTTTTTTGTATGCTGAATAATTTTAGATTATATTCTGAAATTTTTGGACATTATATTATAATAGAGGCCCGGTGCACGAAATTTGTGCACTTGAGGGGAGAGGAGGGGGGTCCCTCAGCCGGCCTGCGCCCTCTCGCAGTTGGACATCCTTAGCACTGCCATGGAGGTGGGAGTGGCTCCCGCCACCGCCACTGTGCTCGCCAGCTGTGAGCCCAGCTTCTAGCTGAGTGGCACTTCCCCTGTGGGAGCACACTGACCACCTGGTGGTCAGTGCACATCATAGCGACTGGTCGTTCTGATGTTTGGTCAATTTGCATATTAGCCTTTTATTATATAGTATATTTCTAGTTCTTGTTTAAAATATATGGAAAATATTGATATTTTTGTGTTAGCCAACAGTAGACCTGGTTCATTGTAGGCCATGGTTTCAACCCCCACTCTGTGGGGCATGAATGTCAGTTCTGTTTTCAAAGCCTACATGCCATTTGCAATTTGAGTCTCTCCCAAGAATGCATTGCCCAGTGGTCAGTCAGGGCACTTTGGTTCTCAAAGTCTTTGACATGCATGCCCATTTCTAAAGACATGAACAACTCCATGGGGTTGCTTTCCTGAACTCCTCACTCTCTGCTATCTGCCTGGTACTTTCTAGCAGCCTGGGGCTTCCCTTTTTGGTTTTGGGGCTCTCGATCCCCAAACTGTCACACTTGTCTGCACTTGAGCCTGAATCCTGGGCTTGCCCCACCTCTTGGAATAGCAGCTACATTGCATTGCCTGGGGCCTGGGGCATGAGAGAGCAGTGAAGTGGGGAAATGAGGGATTTCTGTACTCCCACTGAGTGGCAGGAAATTCCCTTGGAGGCAAAGCTAGAGGTTTCTGAGAGCTCAGTCTGCACCTCCGTGATGCTCACTTCTACTTCCAGGTTCCTCGCACTTTCACACGGGGGAGGGTGCACTGCTCCTTGGCTCCCCCTGGGTCCTCCTGCTGAACTTTTCAGTCTCCCCGCATCGTTGCCAGTGCCTCATGCCCAGGTTTTATAGTTGAATTTGGTGGCAGAGAAAGAATGCAAGCCAACCCCACCTCACCTGCACGCTGCCTATCTCCTCATTGGGAACTGTCCCGCCTCTACTGTTTGGGTGGTCCATGATGACTGGGCCAGTCCCGTCATGTGGCTTACTCGGGTTTGCCCATTCTGATTATGACAGATGGTGGAGAAATGAGCGTGCTCATGCATCCTCAGACATGCATGTTGGACATCTCCCTTACCTGGGCGTGATTTCTGGAGGTTGAGTTCCCAGACGTGGCATTCTTGAGAGAACTTCCCAAAGAGGTGCTCCTAGTGGACTTAATATGACTGTACTTGCCTTCCTTCTCTCTTTAAAAAAAAATTTTTTTTTTATTGATTTCAGAGAGGAAGGGAGAGGGAAAGAGAGAAAAACATCAGTGATGAGAGAGAATCATTGAGCTGCTGCCTCGTACTGGGGATTGAGTCCACAGCCTGGACATGTGCCCTGACCAAGAATCCAACCATGACCTCCTGGTTCATAGGTCGATGCTCAGCCACTGAGCCACACCAGCCAGGCTGCCTTCTTTCTTTTTAAGCCAAGGGGCAAGATGGTAGCCTTGCTAATAACTATGTTTCCTCCTGCCTGAAGACCTTGGTCTGACATTTTGTTGAAACCAAAACATGGTCCATCTGGTTCTTGGGAGGAAAAGCAAATCCCTAGAGCACTTTATAACCATCTGCTTGGGAAAACCTGGAGAGTTCAGAGGGTTCGGGGGTATGTTTGGGGGGCTGTGCCTAAAGAGCCCTGCTCCTCCCCATGCACGGAGGCAGGTATGGACACCTAGGCACGTGAGAATGCCTTATTCCTAAGTGTGTTTGCAGAGCTGGCAGCCGAGTCAACATTGGCCTCCAGATTCCGGAAATCTGGGTGGAGTGGAGTACTTAGCAGCTGATCCCTTAGCAAACATCTCTGTGCCCACCTGGAGAAGGCACTGGCTTTGGGCCACCTGTCACACCTCAGCTGGAAAGGGCAATTTGTCGTGATTGCTGCCCAGAGGGCCAAGATTAGCCTCTGGCTTTGTGGCTTTTTGTCTCCACTTCCTGGCCCTCCTTCCCAGCATTCACAACTTCCTGTGTTTAGTTACAGAAGGCCAAGGAGGAAACAGCCCCCCAGAGTAGGGGACCTAGGGGCAGTCACAGTCATGGGCAGCACGGAGGGCCATGGATTGAGGCAGGTGGGAGTAGCACCCAGCCAGCCTGGAAAGAGAGGACCCACATCTACCGCACTTGCTGAGTGCCTCCTGTCCTCAGGCGCAGTCTCCCTGCTGACCCTGCAGCGAGCAGCTTGGCATAGCCCCTCCCTAGAGAGGGGATGAGACAGGCAGACAGGCTGGTGAGAGGCAGGGGAAGCGGCAGCTGCTGTGCCCTGTGAGGTCAGGGAGCTGCCTGCTGGGGCGAGGACAGGAGAGGCAGTGTGGCCAGAGTATAGCGAGTGATGGGGGTGATGGAGCGAGAATCTGTTGGGCCTTCTGTCCTGTTTGGTGCCTTTCTCAGGGTTGTCAGCCACTCGGCACCTCATGTCTCTGCTCCCGTCAGAGGCAAAGGCTTTCATGTGAGCATGTGGTGCTGTTGGGACCCTCGTTAAAGGCCGGACAGAATTTCCTGCTTCTCTGCAGATAGGCAGCTCAGGCCTCCGCCATGTGAGTGTGGCTGGCGCCTCTGAGGAGAGGCCCCGGTGGCCCCAGACACGCTGTTGGTGTGCATGTGGCCTTGTGCAGAGGGACACTGGGGTGGTGGTCAGGGCTGTGGCCCCAGCACCTGCCAGCTACTCTGTTCCTTTGGTACATGACTCCCCCCCGCTTTGTCTCAGTGTCCTTTTCTCTAAAACGGACTCAGGGAGAGTAGCTCCAGCCCTGCTTGGTTGCTCAATGGTTAGAGCATCACCCTGCACACCGAAGGGTCGCAGGTTCAATTCCCAGTCAAGGGCACGTACGTGGGTTGTAGGTTCAATCCCGGCTCCGGTCTAGGTGTGTGCGGGAGGCAACCAATCGATGTGGGAGGCAACCAATTGCTGTGTGTCTCTCAAATCGATGTTTCTCTCTCTTCCCCTCCCTCCCTCTACTCTAGATAGATAGATAGATAGATAGATAGATAGATAGATAATAGATAGATAGATAGATGATAGGTAGGTAGATAGATAGATAGATAGATAGATAGATAGATGGATGAAGGAGGGTAGCTCCAGTAGCCTCGTCGCACTCTCAGATAACTCCCTGTTGGCATATGAGTTATAGGGTTGCTCATGCCATAGCCCAGCCCCACAGACTGTTGAGGGGTGCAAGAGGGGGCCTGCTGCAGGGGCACTTTTCGGTCCGTGTGAACACCGATTCCCTCTGTTATTTTGGATCCATGGTTATCAGACTTCGGGGCAGCCTGGGGGAGCAGGGAGGGTTCAAGGCTTAGGATGCTCCTCCTTTAACGAGCCCTCAGGGATGTGAGCCTGGTGGCCTCCCTGGGGCGTCGGGGCTCCTGAGAGGGCATGGTGCATGGGAGAGCCTGAGACAGTGTGCCAGGCCCAGGCCACCAGGCTTGTCCGTGAGGGAGGAGCTCATGTGGCCCAAGGCCTCGAGGGTAAGGCCCACAAGTGTCTGCCTCACTGACCCTGGCACGAAGGCTGGATGGGACGGATGAGGCTCCCCCAGCTCAGGAGACAGTGAGAAGGGCATCTAGAGTGGAGGTGGCCGGAGAGTCTTGCAGCATTGGGGGGGACAGAGCTGGCGAGCTGGGACCTCCCCTCACACCCACCCTTTCCCACAGGTCAGTGCCAACGGCAACGTCCTGCGCAGCGAGATCGTGGGTTCCATCAAGATGCGGGTCTTCCTCTCAGGCATGCCCGAGCTGCGCCTGGGCCTCAACGACAAGGTCCTCTTCGACAACACGGGCCGTGAGTACCAGGGCCACGGGCTGTGCACAGCGCAGGCTCACCCGGAGCTGGATCCTGGGCTCAAGTTAGAGCTGAGGGAAGGTCACCGGGTGAAGGAACACATTGATCCCAAGCACCCGGAAATATTTTCACATCGTTTACAAGACTATGAAAATTAATGAATAAATACCTAGAAATGATAGCCTACAATTAATTCGTAATAAATTAATAGGAGGGACCTGGCCTAGAAGTAGAACTCCTGTGGTGGGGCAGGGCCAGAGCAGCCTCAGGGGTCCAGATTGTTGGGGCTTTGTGTTTGCACACTGGATCACCCACCTCCCGGCCTGCCACAGGCCCAGCAGCGGGAGCAGTGTCCCGCCTGGTCAGTTACATCCGCAGCAGCAGTAGTTGGGGCCTCTCAGGCATTCGCCAATCAGGGCAGCTCCTCTCCGGGGCTGGATTTGACCCACACAGGTCTCTGTGGGGTGGGAAACCAAGGCAGGACTCCAGAACCCATGGGTCAGTGGGGCCAGAGCCCGCAGAAGCCCCGAGCCATCACCACAAACACAGCAGCTGGGTTTGTTAGTCATTCAACAAACGTCCCAAGCAGCCACCCTACCTGGTGATTGGTGTGAACCAGGCCAACCAGCCCTGCCCTCAGCATGAGTCCAGTGTCTGGACATGAAGGGGAGCCTCCATGTGGGTGAGGAGGGATAGGGGTGGGGTGGAGAGGGTGGTCTCAGAACCAGGTCCCTTTGGTGTTCGTGGCCCAAGATGCTCTCACAGATTTGGGGCAGCTCTGCTCTGCCAGGGGTGGGCCCCAGGCAGCGGGAGCGTTGCTGAGAGTGGCCCGGAGGCCTCGGGTCCTTACGCTCCCCTCCCCTTAGGCGGCAAAAGCAAGTCAGTGGAGCTGGAGGACGTGAAGTTCCACCAGTGCGTGCGGCTCTCCCGCTTCGAGAATGACCGCACCATCTCCTTCATCCCGCCCGACGGCGAGTTCGAGCTCATGTCCTACCGTCTCAACACCCACGTGAGTGTGCCAGGCTCCTCTCCCCGGAGCCGGCTCTCAGCACTGGGCAGCAGCGCGGGGGCTCCATGGTGGGGGTGTGTTGGGGGCGGGTCCTGTCTCCTTCCTGTGGTTGGGACAGTCCCTGTCCATGAGGTGACGCTCAGTGCGGGCACGGGGACCCTGTGTTTGAAGACCAAACTGTGGGAGCGGCCAGGCTGCTTTGGCATCACTGCTCCTCCTGGGAGCCCAGCAGTGATGGTCCCTGCGTTGTCGCAGAGGCCTCGGCATCTCCCTGCGACCGGGGTCTCTGTGTTCTGGGCTTACCCCGTGTAGCTGGGACTCCTCCTCGAGCCCAGCAGTGTGTGTCGAGCTCACACCTGGGTGAGCGATCCCTTGCCCTGGGCCCGGCCTCCCCTCTGTGAAACGGGCTTTATGAGATAGTCACTCTCCCGACAGGTCAAGCCCTTGATATGGATTGAGTCAGTGATTGAGAAGCATTCCCACAGCCGCATCGAGTACATGATCAAGGTGGGTGTTGGTCCTGTGGACAGTCAGCCTGGCGGCTGGGACAGCCCTTCCTGGTGAGGGTGCTTCCGTGTCTCTGGCCTGTCCAGGGCCCTTGGCACAAAGTTCTGACACAAGGCGGGGGCAGCCGTGGGGCTCAGTGACTCCCATCCTGGGGAATGAGGCCTGTGGCTGTCATCCTTGCTGCCTCACTGTGAGCTCAGGTTCGGGAGTGGGCCGGGGGCACAGAGAGGAGACACACTGCCCAGGTGCTGGGCATGGCCATCATGTCAGTGGCCACATGTCAGGCAACCAGGAAGGCTACTGCCTGCCAGACGGAGCACTCCTGCTTCTCAGTGAATCTGTCTAGCCCCGGCCAGCTGTGCGGACACAGACCTGGTCCCAGGAGGCCAGGGCTGGGCCAGAGGGGGGAATGGGGAGCCCGGACGGCCAATGGAACAGGAAGGCAGAAACTGAACTTTCAAAATCAAGCATAGGGGGACTCTTGGGGTAAGAGAGGGTATGAGTAGTGCCTAAGAATGGGCGGGGGTCAGCTTGGTGGAGGGTCCCACAGACCAGGCCAAGGGGCACATGGCCCTGTGGGATCCAGGTGGGTGGGGGCTGGGCTGTCTCCCTTTCACCTTTTACAGCCTTGACCATGTGGGCCTCTTCTTTAGGCCAAGAGCCAGTTCAAGCGGCGGTCAACAGCCAACAACGTGGAGATCCACATCCCTGTGCCCAATGATGCCGACTCGCCCAAGTTCAAGACAACGGTGGGGAGCGTCAAGTGGGTCCCTGAAAACAGCGAGATCGTGTGGTCCATCAAGTCCTTCCCAGTAAGCACTGTTCTCAGCAGGGTGCCCCCTCCAGACTTCACCCACATTCCACGTGCTCCCTGTGCCCCACCTAGTGCTGTGGCCCGGCAGCTGTGGGATCCCCCCAAACCTTGAGACAGGCCACAGGGTAGGATCCCCACCTGGAGCTTCTGGGAGGGTCAGGAGGGAGGGGAGAGCTGAGGAGCTGGCCGGGCAAGGAGGGGAAACTGGAGCCTCCGGGAAAGCAGAGGCTGGCTCAGCCTGTGGGCCCCTCACCACCTTCCTCTCCAGCATCAGTAAAGTGCCCCCTCCCCCCTCCCTCCTCCCTCCCCACCCCTTCCCTCCCTCCCTCCCTCCCTCTGACACTGGTGGGACCAGACTGCCTTGAGGCCAGAGCAGCACGGGTATCGGGAATCCAGCTCCAGGAACAGGCAGCACTTTGTGGCCTGTGCCAGCTCTGCCTGCTGGCGCGGCTGCCTGGCTTGTGTTCAGGATTTTGAGCGCTAGAGTCTGGGTTTGCGGGGATAGCGCCTGGAGAGCCTGGTAGGCGGGTGTGTGCTCCTGCCAGTCACTGCTTTCCCACGTTCTCTGTCTGAACCTCGGTGGGGCTTGAGGACAGTCCCAGCTGAGTTAAAGAAGTTGGGCATGCAGTCATGCTAGTGCCTTGAGTTTTTTTATGTTCGCAGTTTTCCTCAAATCTGTGATATAATTACGTTACAGAAAATAGAGGGAAAGGAGAAAAAAGACTGTAATCCTGCCACCATAATGCAATTGCTGTTAGGTTTTTGGTGTGTTTCATTCTTATCTTGCTGTGTGTTTTTGTTTGGCGTTGTAGAGCAGAGACAATCTGGTGTTCTTTGTCCTTTGTTCTCTCAGCCTTGTATCGGAAGCATTTCCAGGTCATTGACTGTCTTCTTGGTGGTCAGTTTGTCAGCAATAGAATATTCCGTGGAGGGAGTCATACCATCCTAGATGGTCGACTGTTTCCACTGTTTAGCATTTATGTTAAAAAACACAATGGGAGAATAAATCAGAAGATAAATCGCATGGTTCGCTCTAGGGGAGGCAGAGGACATGGCTAAGGGCTAGATGCCAATCATCGTGGACTGTACCTTGTTTGGTAGGCTGTGGTTTGTTTTAATCTAATCTTTGAAATTTTCACTTGATGTTGAAACCATTAAAGTGTTTTTCATTAGTATAAAACAAAATTAAATGAAAGAATGGAAAAAAAATAAAAGGTGATTCCTAAAAATCAAAAGCCAAATGAACTTATCAGTGTATCAAGTTGAGAAAACCACACAGAGACGGATTACTCCAAGTGGCGTGCCCCAGGGACAAAAAGAACTGCAAAAAACAATCTTAAATATGTACTAGTATATGTATATGTATCCTTCCCCTGTCTTATATTTCTCCATATCACCAATTCAATATACAGTTTGATTCAGGGTTGGCTTTTTTATTTTTATTTTTTTAAAATATCTTTTTAATGATTTTTAGAGAAAGAGGAAGGGAGAAGGTTAGAGAGGGAGAGAAACATAGATGAGAGAGGATCATCATGATCGGCTGCCTCCTACACGCTTCCCACTGGGATTTGAGCCCACAACCTGGGCATGTGCCCTGACCAGGAATCAAACCGGCAACCTATTGGTTCCTGGCTCAACCATTGAACCAGTCAGATGAGGGTTTGCTTTTTAAATTCAGTTTTTTAAATGTGTAAAATCTTCATGTGGTTAAAAAGTCAAAACTATTTTTTTAAAAATGAAAAGGGAGAGAAGAAAGGTGCAGAATTCCCATTTTCATGCCTTTCCCCTAAATCTCTCTTCCCATTATGGGAAAGCATTTAACCTTCTGAAGTGTCGTTTGGTACAGAGAAACAGATATAAATGGGTATATTCCTATTTCTCCTCCTCTCTTACCTGCTTCCCCCTAACCATTTAGGAGAAATGGTTATAGAAGCAGACCCTCCTTGTTCTTTTTTTTTAGCTGCATAGTATTCCACTGTGTGGCGTTTATTCTGTCTTTATTTAGACGCCTCCCCCTCCTCACTGAAGGGCGTTTAGCTGTTTCAGCCTTTGGCTTTAGGGAGACTGCTCTGAGGCTTGACCTTGGGCTTATGTCATTTTGTTTATTTGTCGGTTTAGCTTCAGCGTTGGTGCCAGAAATGAAATTGCTGGCTCAAAGGGGACATAGGTCTAAGATTTTGTTGGGCCTTTTCCACTTCCCTGCGTGCTGTTCACATCCCATCAGCACCCGCTCCCAAGTGCCATCAGCAGAGCTGCCGTGGAGCTTTCAGACATGTGCCAACCTGAGAGCAGACATGCTCCTCTGTGCCATTTCTCGCTTACACAGGATGAAAGGAGGAGTCCACTCATTTGCTTCTGGAGCCTGTCCAGTGGCATCTTTCCGGGCAAGGTCTGGTCAATGGAGGAGGGACAGTTTTATCGTTTCCATATGGCTGTCCAGCATTTACTAAAAGTCCATTGCGCAGTGGTTTGAAACACCATGTTGATCACAAGTCAGATTTTCAGGCAGCATTAGGTCTCCTTCTGAACACCCTCCTGCACGGAGGCCACATTTTAACTTGGGGCTGTATTCTGTGTTCCCATCTGGGGGGCCAGCCCCACACCCACCATACACCCCCACGCCTATTGATTGTCTGTTTCCCGGCAACTCCTACTGGTTTTGTTTTCCTTGTAGATTTTGGAATCTGTGTGTACTGAATGCTAAGTGAAGTGGGAATAGTGAACACCTTTGTGAGGCTGTGTTGTCCTTTCCAATAGCTTTGCCCCGCGGGCACCGTTGTGTCTTTTAGTCATGTGTTAGCATTTGCCTGCGTGCCTCCTCGTTGTTAGAAAGTACTTTTATCGAAGTATAACTTGCAGAAAGGTGCACAGATGAACTGTGAACAACTCCACGAGTTCTCTCAGAGTGACTATGTCTGTGTCTGGAGCCAGGAAAAAGCCATAGGACACTCCACAGTCTTCGAGCTCTGGGACTCACCGACAGTTTTGCTCATTTCTTACTAAGATGATTTTTTAAAATATGTTTTTATTGATTTTTTTTTTTTTTTAAGAGAGAGAGGGAGGGAGGGAGGGAGGGAGGGAGGGAGGGAGAGAGACATTGATTGGCTGCTTCCTGCGTACACTCTGACCGGGAATTGAACCTGCGACCTTTTGGCGCATAAGATGACCATTGCTCAACCAACTGAGCCACACCAGCCCGGGCTCATTAAGATGATTTTTAAGCCAATGTTTTGGTAAATGGGGTCTTCTCTTCCATTCTGTCTTTAATAGGTCACTAATATTTGCATGGCAATTTTATGTCCTGGGACCTTACTGGATTTTGATTTGTGGTAGCTTTTTTTAAAAAAAAATAAATATTTTTATTAATTTCAGGCAGAGGGAGAGAGAGATAGAAACATCAATGAGGAGAGAGAATCATTGATTGGCTGCCTCCTGCACACCCCCTACTGGTGATGGGGCCCACAACCCGGGCATGTGCCCTTGGCTGGAATTGAACCCAGGACCCTTCAGTCCTCAGGTTGACGCTCTATCTACTGAGCCAAACCAGCCAGGGCACGGTAGCTTTTCTTTTGATTCTCATGGGTTTTCAGATCTCCTTTCAGGTCTTTCGCACCTAGATGCAGTTTTTCTCTCTTCTCTCCTATTCTTTTCCATCCGATGGCTTCTGGCATCTCATTGCTTCTGTCTCCGGGGCCCTTAAGTGGTGGTGGAGAGAATGGCCTCTTGCCCTCTATGGAGCCACCAGGGCTTCTCCTCCAAGTTCAATGCAGCTGGGACTGCAGACTCAGCCCAGGCTGAGTTGCTGTGGTTTTAGCACAAGTGGGCATCGCATTTAGCAGCTGCCTCGTCAGTGTCCGTTTCAGTGCAGATCTGTTCATGGGTGGATCTGGAATGATACAGTATTTGTGCCTCCTGGTAAGCTCCACCTGAGCGTAGTATCTTTTCTTTTTAATAGGCCATTGAATTCTGTTGGTTAACATTGTATTTAGGATTTTTGCATTGGTATTCATACCTGAGATTGATTTTTGGTTTTGGTATAATCTCTATCAGGTGTCAAAGTTATACTCATTTTACACATTTTTTATCTCCCTTCTCTATGCTGCAAAACTGTTTAGCCTGGAGATTGGTTTTGAGACAGTTGGTAGGATTTAGCTGTGTGACTGTCTGGGTGTCTGCTACTTTATCTCTTGGAATGGAATTTGGGCCATTTAGAGTTTCTGTTGGAGTCTGTTTGGGTAAATTATATTTTTCTACAAAATTAACCAGCTTTTCAGATTTGTCTACACAAAGATATAGAACGTGGTTCTCCCCCCCTTCTCTTATGACAGTTACATTTCTTATTTTGTATATTTGTGTCGTCTTTTTCCCTTGATAAGGTTACCTAGTGGTTTATTTTTTTCAGATTTGCTTTTCAATTTATTTGTTTTAGTATTTTCCCATCTTATAAGTCTTTCATTTTAATTCCTTAGTCTTTTTTGTTCTAATTCTAATTTTCCGAGTTAGGTATTTTAATTTGATTATTTTGTTTTTAAATTTGCATTGATGTATTTGAGACACAGTTGTTCCTCTTTAGCTGTATAACTGACTTGTTTTATTTAATATCATCATTATCCAGAAATTCTGTGAATCAAGTAGAGTTGTTGAGCTGTGGTTTTTTGTTTACTTGTTTGGTTGGTTGGTTTTTTTGTTTGTTTTTTGGGGGTATTTTTTTTAAATATATATTTTATTGATTTTTTAGAGAGAGGAAGGGAGAGAGATAGAGAGTTAGAAACATCGATGAGAGAGAAACATCGATCAGCAGCCTCCTGCACGCCCCCTACTGGGGATGTGCCCACAACCAAGGTACATGCCCTTGACGGGAATCGAACCTGGGACCCTTCAGTCTGCAGGCCGATGCTCTATCCACTGAGCCAAACCAGCGAGGGCGGTTGGTTGGTTTTTAATTGCCTGCTAGAAGGGCCTTTTGTTTCCCATTTTCTCCATTTCCATTTGGTACATTGAGGTCAGAGAATGTTATTCGTACTGTTTATACTTTTAGAATTTATTGAAGTGTTTGTTGTGGGCCAGTTAAGGTCAGAATTTATAAATAGCCCACCCCATGTGCACTTGAGAAGCGGTAAGGCCTGTTGTTGGGGTGGAGAGTTTGACCTCTGCGCCCACGAGGTCTGCATTGTGCTGTGACAGCATCACTGGAAGCTCTGCTTCCCTTCACACTTCCTGCAGCATCTGCTTCGCAGAAGCCGTCCTGTCGCTTGGCTCGTAGACACCCATCAGTATTATGTCTTCCCTGTGGCTCACAGGACTGCAGCTTCCAGGACTGTGGCCTGAAATTCTTGCCCCGAACGTCTCAGATTTTTGCTCTGGTTATTGTTTCACACACAGGCTGATGGAGCTGATTTTATTATTTATTTTCTGCTGCTTTGTTGCCAAGCCCGCATTATTCTCCTTTCGGTGTCCCAGAGTCATCAGCACACGACACCGAGTCAGGCAGAGCACAGTCCCTGCTCTCAAGCTGGCCCTAACGGCCATGACGAGAGTGACCACTCCATCCCGGGGAGGGAGGCGTGAGCCAGGCGCTGGGAGCCCTGGCTCTGTCTGAGGTGGAAGGACAGCTCTTCCTCTGGGGCAGAGCCGTCCTGGTCAGCAGCCGCTCCCGCTGCCAGAGCCCTGGGGACCCAAGGTGGTGACCCACATGTGACAAGACCTGTGCCCCTCCCTGCTCCCCACTGCTCTGGTTGAGACGCACGGGGAGCTTCGACAGCGCATACTCCTCTCACCGAGACCCCTTGCTCCTCTCGCCAGGACTCAGGTCCAGTCATTCCTGGCCCTGCTCCGAGCCCTGCCCCTGGTGTCACTGCTCAGCCTGAGGCCGGAGCCACTACCCTTGGGGAGCAGCTCCTCAGGCAGCCCCCGCCGCGGCCTCTTAATGTTTGTCACCTCCCTGTCTGCGTTCCTCCCTTTGACAGTCCCCTCCTGCTCCACGCATCCTCCTGACACTGGGCAGGGGCTGTTCACTGAACTCTCGTCCCCGGCAGCCTGCGCCTGCACTCTTCCTCTCTTCCTCCTTCCACGCCCGTTGGTCTCATCTGCCTTGAAGCAATTAGTCTTCTCTCCCTGGGAGCCCGTGAAACTTTCTCCTGATCCTTAGAATTCAACCATCGTGCCCATCATGGCCTTCAGTCTTCCCAGTGGGGCTGGAGGCAGTCCTGGAGGACAAGTGTACATGTGTTCGAGGAGCTGGGGTGCCAGGTGTCCGCTGGCCACACTGGGAGGGCCCGGTGGCCAGGCCAGCAGCCTGTGTTCTCCACCTAGGCCGGGGCCTCAGCCTCACCATCCCCACCGGTCTGCTTTCCCAGGGCGGCAAGGAGTACCTGATGCGGGCCCACTTTGGCCTGCCCAGTGTGGAGGCTGAGGACAAGGAGGGCAAGCCCCCGATCAGCGTCAAGTTCGAGATTCCCTACTTCACTACCTCGGGCATCCAGGTACGTGCCAGGGCTGCCAGGCCCAGAGCAGACGGGGACAACAGAGACCCAGAGTCCACTCAGGCCCAGAGGACTGCAAGTGACACACAGCATCACAGCAGCTTAGAAAGGGTTCCCATCAGGTTGCCACAGCTCTGCTACTCACGGGCAGCCCGGCCCCCACAGAAAGAGGCCTGTACTTGTCTCCTCGGCCCTGCCCTGTGCTCTGCTCCAAGCCCAGGGGTGCATTTGGTCCCCAGAACTGGAGTTTGAGCCTCTAGTGTCCAGACTTGTCCCCGTGGGGCCCATCTTCCTGGGCACCTCCATGGGAAACCTTTGAGGGGAGGAGAACCCTGGACCCTCTCCAGGAAGCTCTAGAATCTCTCTTGTGAGCACATATCCGGGCTCTTTGCCGCGTCTGCTAGAAGCACAACCTCAGTGCGTTGCAGACAGACCAGTGCCCTTCACCTCTCCTCTCACCTCCGTTCACTCACTCATCACAACCTCCCCCGCCCAGCCCAGGGGGATGGTTAAGGGGTCACCAGCAGAGGGCGGCATGACACGCTCAGGGCCCTCCCTGTGCCCCAGGTGCGCTACCTGAAGATCATTGAGAAGAGCGGTTACCAGGCCTTGCCGTGGGTCCGTTATATTACTCAGAATGGAGGTATGTGCAGCCCACTGTGGGGGGGCGGAGAGTGGGGGTGCCGGCTGAGAGGGTCCCTAGTGGCCGAGCAGCTGCCTCCAGGGTGGCTGCCCCTAGGGTGGCACTCATGGACACCTCCCTCCTGTCTCCTAGATTACCAGCTCCGGACCCAGTGAGGGGTCAGTGCCCCAGCCCTGGTGCAGGGGCTCCTGGGGAAGTGCTGGAAGGCCTGCCAAGTCCGCTGGAAGGAGGACACCCCGACACCGGCCACCATTCCGGCTCTGCCGGGAGACCCCTCCTTCTCCGGACATACCTGCTCTGCCGGCTCCACACTTGTCTCCAAAGCCCCTTCTCCCAGAAGAGGCTCGTCTTCCGGATGTCCTGTCTCTTTGCCGAGCCCTTCCTGGGGAGGGAAGCAGTCTTCGCCCAGAGGCCATGCGCAGCCTCAGGGCTGAGTCCCGGCACCGAGAACATGAGGAACTCGCCGGCTCCTGGCGGCACGGTTCTGCCTTCTTGCCGTTCTGTTGGCCTGTGTTTGATGAGTGTCTCTGGGGTTTTGTCTTCTTCCTCGTTGCTGTTTACGTAACCCTGGCTGTCTGCTCCTGCTCCTCGTCCTGAAGCACTCAGGCAGCACTTAGTGGGGACAGGAGCCTCCCCGGCCTCCTTCCTCAGTGCGCATCCTCCACTGGGGCCAGAACCCCAGCACTTTGGGCCCTTGGGGCTCCTGGCCTGGACCCACGGGCTTCGATGAGGTGCCTCCCAGGGCCAGCTGTGCCACACAGGGCGTCGCTCAGCCACATCAGTGTTTGTCCCACCTGGAGGTGGTGCAGTGAGGGCCCTGGCTCAGGGCACAGGTCATCATGTCTGCTTGGTCACCCCTCCCGTCTGTGTTTGTGTCATAATTAGATTAAATTTCATTAATTAACCCTGTGTCTGCCTTCCCTCAAATGCACTGTGGTGCAGATGCCGCCCGGGTCTCCAGGGGCAGGTGCAGGGCTCATGGCAACCTGTGTGTGGCCTTGCGTGTGTCACCAGCTCCCGGCGCCTCCGCCCCGCCCCCAGTGAAGGAGGGACTGGGCGGTCAGTGGGCAGCAGAGCCATTGCCCTGGACTACCTGAGGGCACACAGGCAAATCCTTTCCTCTCATCCAAGGTGGTGGTTGTGACCCCCAACCCTCAGACTGCCAACAGCTTGCCCCCATCTCTCCTCGGCCTGATGCCCTTTCTCTGTCGTCTCATCCCAGCAGCATCAGTGTCCCCTGGGAGCTCACTAGACATGCAGATTCGTGGGTCCACCCTGAGCTGCCCAGGTAGCATCTGGGAGAGGGCCCAGGAGACAGGAACAGACCGCAGGTGGTTTGTATTTGCACTGGAGTTTGAGAACTAATGCCCGTTCATAGAGAGGATTGTGGCTGCCTGGTCCACAGAGGGAACTGTGGCAGGTGCATGGGCAGCAAGTTCCTCGTCCTCCCACCACAGGCACCTGCCCTCATGCTCACTGCTGCTCTAACACTGATGGCCTCTCCCCACCCCCACCGATTTCAAGGGCTGTGCTTTCTCCTGCCATACCACCCAGCTCCCCTTGCAGGTCTCCTGGACATCGGCCCGAGTGCAAACGTAGCATCCCACCCACTTGGAGTAAAGAACACTGCTCCGGCCCAGGGCTCAGGCCACAGCACTCTGAGCACCATGGTGCCTGCCCTTCACTGCCCATACCCACAGCAAGCCAGAGGGCCTCGTCTGATTCCATTTTCCATTCTCACTGCCATTCCTGGAGGCCAAGCCCCAGCCTCTAGCCCCCCAGAGGGACAGAGTGGCCCACACAGTGCAGAGCAGACCCTCTGCTCCCAGCGATGTTCAGGGCAATGTTCCTGGCCAGCCCGCTATTAACACGGAAATGCATAAACCAAAGTGAATGCACCGCTGAGCCAAGAAGGGATATCTGCACGAGCCTAAAACAGGAACAGGCACCAAAGGTATAGCAGGAGCTGGTTCTCTGGGGAGCCTAGGAATTTGGATTGAAGGGCCAGGTCGTGGGTGGGACTTTGGGCCTGTGGAGATGGTGAAATGCCAGGAAGATTCCTACATAGTAACAGTAAGAAGATGGGCTCACTAGAAAAACTGCCTGTCGCCTGGCCCTGGGGGACAGGAAGCCCTCTCGACTCTCTTGGCTAGAGAGCTGTTAGAGAAAAGTCTCCGCTGAAGTATTGTAAGGACCAGTTTAGAGCTGAAATGTGCATTACCCAGATGGTCTTGGAGACACCCAAGCCAAGACGATTATAAAACAAACTCTCACCCTGGCTGGTTTGGCTCAGTGGATAGAGTGTCAGCCTGCAGACTGGAAGATCGCAGGTTCAATTCTGGTCAAGGGCACATGCCTGGGTTGTGGGCTCAATCCCCAGTAGGGGGTGTGCAAGAGGTAGCCGATCAATGATTCTCTCATCATTGATGTTTCTATCTCTCCCTCTCCGAAATCAATACAAACATTTTTAATAAATAAAACAGAGTCTCGGGCCCGGCCGGTGTGGCTCAGTGGTTGAGCATTGGACTATGAACCAGGAGTTCATGGTTTGATTCCAGTCGGGGCACATGTCCAGTTTGTGGGCTCGATTCCCAGTGCGGGGAGGTGTGCAGGAATCAGCTGATCAATGATTTTTTGTCATCACTGTTGTTTCCATCTCTCTCCCTCTCTAAAATTAATAATATATATATATATATATTTTGAAACACACACACACACCCAGACTCTCTGGAGGGGAGTGACTCCAAAGTTCTCACTCATAGAGCCACCCTACATGAGTGCACATCCAGAAAATTATAAAACGTGGGTGAGAGTGCGCTGTGTAAGCAGTAGGATCAGATCCTCAAGACCTTCGTATAAGGATTTTCAGACACATAATATGCACATATGCCCTAAGTGATTACAGGCTTATGGACTCAAATGTAGAAAAGAAAATGCTGTTCAGACAGGACCGTTGCAACATCTAACTGGGCAAATAATCTGTATACAAATTATGTGATAACTTCTAGAAATCAGAAAAGGAAAGAACCCAATAGACAAATGAACCCAATAGGCAAAATGTGTGAGCAAACAATCCTGAGAAGATGAAATACAAATGGCAAGTAAACGTGAAAAAACGTCTAACCTTGTCATAATTAAAGACCACAATTAGATGCCATTTCACACTCATCAGATTGATGGGAAAACGAAACTGACAAAACCAGGTCCTAGTGAACAAGTGGAGCTTGAGGACATGTTTATCCTGCTAGTAGTTCTGTTTATTGATATAATCACTTTTTTAAATTGGCAAGACCACAAGGTTCAAGTGCTGCTCAGGCTGATGGCACACAGTGGGTAACATGCAGTGAGCCCTACCCCAAAGACGTGCACTTCACACACTTTACATACGTGTATTATACCTCAGCGTTTAAAGCTTAAAAATAAAAATGCCAACAGCTAAAAAAATAGAAACCAGGTTAATGAAATGAGCAAATTGCAGGAGGAAGTTGTCCTATTATTTATACAAAGTTTAAAGTCATGTAGCCCAGCCAGCATGGCTCAGTGGTTGAGCGTCAACCTATGAACCAGGAGGTCATGGTTCGATTCCGGTCAGAGCGTATGCCAGGGTTCTGGGCTCGATCCCCAGTGTGAGGCATGCAGGAGGCAGCTGGTCAATGATTCTCATCATTGATGTTTCTATCTCTCCTCTTTTCCTCTCTGAAATCAATAAAAATATTTTTAAAAATAAAATTACGTAAAACAATACTTCATATTGTTATGGCCACAAACATGGTAATTAACTGTATCTCCGACACGCTTCCCATTGGCTAATCAGGGAAATATGCAAATTAACTGCCAACCAAGATGGCGGCCGGCAGCCAGGCAGCTGAAGCGAACAGGAGGCTTGCTTGCTCCAGTGATGGAGGAAGCCAAGGTTCCCCGCCTGCGGCGGCCAGCCTCTGAGCTGCACTCTAAGCAACTATGTTGCAATTATAGAAGCTAAACAAACCCCAGAAACCTGCTTTCAGCCAGCCAGGCCTCAGACCTGGAGCTGCAACAGTTTCAATTATAGAAGACAAACAAACCCAGATCCCTGCTTTCAGCAGCTGAGGCCTCAGAGCTGGAGCCGAGCCTCAGAGCTAAAGCCAGCTCTCAGTTTCAGTGACAGCCATAGAAGGTAAATAAATCCCAGAATTAAAAAAAAGAAGAAAAAAAGGAGAGGTTGGGAGCTTCAGTCACCCGCCAGCCTAAAAATGGCCCTCAGCCCCTCACCCAGACTGGCCAGGCACCCCAGTGGGGACCCCCACCCTGAAGGGGGTGTGACCAGCTGCAAACAGCCATCAGCCCCTCATCCAGGCTGGCCAGGCACCCAAGCGGGACCCCCACCCTGATCCGGGGCACCCTTCAGGGCAAACCAGCCAGCCCCCACCTGTGCACCAGGCCTCTATCCTATATAGTAAAAGGGTAATATGCAAACTGACCCTAACAGCAGAAGGACTTGGAATGACTGGTCACTATGACACACACTGACCACCAGGGGGCAGACGCTCAATGCAGGAGCTGCCCTTTGGTGGTCAGGGCGCTCTCACATGGGAGGAGCTCTGCTCAGCCACAAGTCAGGCTGATGGCTGCCAGTACAGTGGTGGTGGTGGGGGCCTCTCCTGCCTCTTCAGCAGTGCTAAGGATGTCCGACTGCAGCTTAGGCCTGCTCCCTGCTGGCAAGTGGACATCCCCTGAGGGCTCCCGGGCTGCCAGAGGGATGTCTGATTGCCATCTTAGGCCTAATCCCCTGGGGAGTGGGCCTAAGCCAGCAGGTGGTCATCCCCTGAGGGGTCCCAGACTGTGAGAGGGCACAGGCCGGGCTGAGGGACCCCCCTCCCCCCCTGAGTGCACAAATTTTTGTGCACCAGGCCTCTAGTAGTATATAATAAAATATAGAAGCATGTAAGCAAAAGACGAACTCCAAACTCTAGACAGTTATACCCTCTGGGGTGGGAGAGAAATGGGCCGCATCTGGGGACCATGGGCAAGTTTTATTTCTGGTCTGTGTGCATACTTGGACATTTATTCAATAATCACCAATGATTTTGTGATGGTGTAAGACTGCTCTTAATATTGTAATTCAGATCATGTCCCCGCCCTGCTCAGAGTCCTACCATGGCTCCCCAGAGCCCTTAGAGTAAAACCCTCACTCCTCGCCCTGCAACCTGGCCCCGGCCCCTCCCTGGCTTCCACCTCGCCCTCCGTCCCTCTGCTCCAGCCGCCCCCAGCTTCTCGCCTCAGACACTTTGCAGATAGATGCAGGCCCCCTGCCTGGTGCCCCTTT